TTCCTTCCTCCCTTCCTCCCTTCCTCCCTTCCTCCCTTCCTCCCTTCCTCCCTTCCTCCCTTCCTCCCTTCCTCCCTTCCTCCCTTCCTCCCTCCCTCCCCCTTTTTTTTTGCTTGGAGGCTTCTTAGAGAAGGTGACATTGGCACTGAGACCTGGACAGGGCCCTGCGCTTTTGAGAGCAGGCTTTACTGCCCCTCTCCAATCCCTAAGCAGACCAGAGGAGACTCGACAGTGTGGATCATATCCTCTATCACTCCTTGCAGCAACCCTGCCCCCTTTCCATCTCGCTCCAGACAGAACATTCTGGGTGTTTTAGTGGGAGAACAGTTTGGAGACCTGTGTGCACGGTGGGGTGTGAGCTGGGGAGATGGCTGGCTGTGAGCGGGTGGTTCTGGGGAGCAGTGGTGAGGTTGCCTTCACATGACTAGGTGCATTTTGTTTGAAGGCATGTGAGGCCTGGCCTCAGGTTCAGGAGCGCACATGGGCACACATGCGCTCTCCTGGGACCCTGAGTGAGGCCTTCTGGGAAATGTAGTTTTTAGTGGCAGTAAACTGCATGGGAGAAGACTGTTCATCTGTCTCCTGCGGAGCATCTGGTGGATTTGAACTGTGAACCGTTTGCATTGGCAGCAAAATTCCTTACAACTAAGCCAGTAGAGCTCCCGAATACCGTCATATGCATCTGAAATATTTGCTTTATGGTGTTGATGAACAATATTGAATTTCAGAAAAACGAGCAAATCTGACTTGGAGAAAGTACAGCCAGAATGCTCATTAGAAGTGAGGATGGTACGACTTCATTCTACATACTTTGGACACTAGCTCTTCAGGAAGGACTAGTGCTTCAAGAAAGAAATCATCTTAGTAAAGCAGAGGGTCAATGAATAAGAGGAAGAGCGTGAATGAGACAGACTGTCAGGGTGGCTGCAGCAATGGGCTCAGGCTCCCCAGGGCTGGAGGCGTGGCTTTGGAGCAGGCAGGACTTTGTTCCGCTGTATATAGGATTGCTATGAGTTGGAGAGTACTTGATGGCAGTTAACAACAATAACGATGACAAATATACAATGCTAAAATAAACACATCGGAAGCAGGAGCAGCATCCACTTCCTTAACAGCTTGCCTCCGGAAACCCTATGAGCCTGGAGAGAGGATGAGAGACACACAGGTGTTGAGGACTCTCCTTCATGGGGTCGCTATAAGTCGCCTGCGACTCGATGGCACTTAACAACTACAAAATAAACACATGTGCACTCCCTCATTGCCACTGAGTTGGAACTGACACATAGCTGACCTTCTAATAGGTTTCTGAGGCTGTAAATTGCACGGGAAGAGACTGCCTATCTTTCTCCTGTGGAAAGGCTGGTGGATTTGAGTCCTTGGAGAGGTGTCATGTTGGGGTTAGTAGTGTAATGCCCTACAAGGTCAGCAGAGCTCCCTTGTTAAAATAAGGCGTCAATAAGAGAGGAAACTGGGTGCAGAGTATAGAAGAACTCATGTTTATTGCAGCTTTGTTCACAATAGCAAGGAGTTGGAAACAACCTAAGTGCCCATCAACAAATGAATGGCTAGAGAAGCTGTGGTATATTCGCACAATGGAATACTATGCTGCATTAAAAAACAAGGAACTCATGCAATATTATTCAAAATGGTTGACTCTGGAGAACATTATGCTGAGTGAAATATCCCAGTCACAAAAGGACAAATATTACATGATGCCACTGTTGTAGAATGGGACTGTCCTTGGGGTTAGGGAGACACTGAGTAAGATGGGTTCAATAATGTATACTGCACTGAAGCAGAGGAGGGAGAGAACCGTCTAAAAGAGAGATGTAACTGGGTATTTCTGTCATCACAGGAGACTAGAGCGAGGGCTGCATGGTGGAGGGGACCTGGGGGAGGGTTTGTAAAACAATGAAAGAATCTTTTCTTTTACTTTTCCATAATTTTTGGACTCATGTACTTATAACTTGTTAGTCAAATTTGTGTCTTCTAGGTTGCAACACCCCCATGATACATCTTGAAGGATATGTACATGTACAGCCAAGCACAATCAATAAGAGTGCATCTGAATTCCAAAATCAATCTCCATAATAGTCTATGTGTTTCCTACTGCCAAAGGGGCCCTTTAGAGTAGTGAGAGAAGATCTTCACCCTGAAACCCACAGCGTCCCTTTTCAGCAGGAAGTAGCTAAGAGAATACGCCGTCCCCTTTTCCTTATGACTCAGGGTGAAGTCTCTCTCAGGGAGGAGTGATAGGGAATGGCAAAGGATACACTGACAAAGAAGATTAATCAGAACTGGCTTTGACAAGCACTGTGGCATTTGGACAAGAACAAACTGGGAGGAGGGTAGAGAGAATAGTGCAACAATGAATGAGTGGAAGCCCAAAATCTCTGTAAATGTTTATGAAAATTAATAAAATATAATTATAGAAAAAAAATAAAAAAAAAGAAGAACTCTTTGTATTAATGCAAACTTCACAATAATTGTGTAAATGTAAAACTATTTTAAAATAAAAAAGAATCCAATCAAATCGTTTTGGTAATATAGACAAATTAATGGGGCTCCAAGTGTGAATTTGTTGTTATGTGCTGCCGAGTCTTTGCAACTCATAGCAACCCTATGTACAACAGCCCTAAACCCTGCTCTATCCTATGCCAATCGCATTGCCTCTGACACACCCATCCCTATTAACCCAGTCACTGAATCAATCCACCTCAAGAGGGTCTTCCCCTCCTGCACTGTCCCTCCACCCTACCAAGCATGATGTCCCTCTCCAAGGACCTGTCTCTTCTTACAACATGTCCAAAGTATGTCAGACGAAGCCCTAGAATCCTTGCCTCCAAGGAGTAGCCTGGTTTAACCCTCTCCAGGATGAATCTGTTTGTTTTCTTGGCAGTCCAGGGTACATTCAATACTCTTCTCCAGCACCACAGCTCAAAGGCATCAATTCTCCTTCTATCCTCCCTAGTCATTGTCCAGTTCCCTGATGCATAACAAGTGATTGCAAAGACCATGGCCTGTATCATGTGCACCTTAGTCTCCAGAGAGACACCATTGCTCTTAGTAAAAAAAAATGTTAGCCACCAGCAATTCAGCCCCTGACTTGAAACACCTTTGAACTGGACAGAGTTCTCATTGGCTGATCCCCCCACCCCCGTTCCTTTTCATTTTCTTTTATTAATTTTAATGGTCATGTACAGAAATTTTGGATTTCCATTCATTCATTGTTGCATTTTTCTCCCTGACACCCCTTCCCCACCCCCAAGTTCACTCCTCTCTCCGAAAAGTAAAAGAAAAATTCCTCTATGTATAACTATGGATCAGCAGACTTTCCAGCCTAGTCTGTCTTGGTCAGGAAGCTTCCCTGGAGCCTGTTTTTCAACCTGATAACATGTCTCCACAGACAGGTGGTGACTGTGGTTGAGGAACACTGGCTGAACATTAAACCTGGAACTTCCGCACACAAGGTAACCATTTATTACCACTGAATGACTACTGCTTTGGTTATATGTTAGCACAAGGTCTTTTGAATTATCTATGCCTGTCAGCTTGGAAGATGAGTGGGGTCTCAGAAATTCTCAATGAGATTGTTTAGTACAGTGCCTTGCTTGACTGAAAGGTCTCTTGTGCCAGTGTTAAGTCAGGAATGAGCAGATAATGAAATGCATTCGTTGCTGGCCACAGAACCCTCCCGAGAGCCGGCTTCCAGCCCTCTCCCCCCCTGTCCAGCTAACCTGAGGGATGTAGAAGAGCCCCAGCAAGTTCGCCACGGCCGTGGAGATGCCTGAGCCGGTTGCGCCCACCACAGCGATAGTAGAGGGGATATGCTCGGAACAATTGCAGAACTCGTCAAGGTTCAAAGAATCGATTTTATTCTGGGCAACGAAACTTAGGGTGGCCTCCAAGGCCTTGGAAACGGTATTGCAGGTGTCGAAAATCCTGTATCCCAGTGTCATGTTGGGGAGGAGGGCTGGGCTGCTGTTTATCTCCTCAATGGCAAAGATCATCGCTTGTAACCAGCGAAAGCCACGGAAATTATACCTGGAAGAAAGAAGACACAGAAGATTTTGTGAGGCCCAACAACTGAGTTGGTGGGTTTGAGGATGGCTCTGATGCTTCTGGGTTTTGTGGCATGGGACTCTTTGAGCCTCAAAGTCTCCTATGTAAAAGAAATAGGGAGATTATATCCCTCAATGGGATGCGTTTCAAGATGATGAAATGAGATAAAAAATTCTGAGCATAGTGCCTCTCACAGACTTCTTGTTATGTGCCACTGAGTTGGAACCAACTCATCATAGCTGACTCTGCAGTGGATTTAAGAAGGTTATAAATCCAAGGAAAGCAGTTGGCCAATTTTTTTTCCTGTGGAGAAGCTAGTGGATTTGAACCATCTACTTTTAGGTTGGCAGTATGACTCCTTACCCACAAGGCCACCAGAGATTCTTCTCACAGACTTATAGTAATAAAATTTTATAAATATATGTATATATATTAATAAATTTTATATATGTGTGTAATAAAAACAAAGATTGCTATTGGTAATATAAGTAATAGTTTCTATCTGCTTCATATAACACAGAATTTGAAATGGCTCTGAAACACTTTAAAAACAGTAATAGACAAATTTAAAAAGGGAAAAGTCCAGAAGAAATAGAAATTAGATGAGGATTTTACTACTGTGGGAACTTAAAAAAAAAACCAGCCTCTGCTTTGTGGTTATAGACTGAGATCATGATGTTCCTGAAGGTCAAAGGGGAAAAAGACATGAGTGACCTAATTTTTTTGTAAACCAAAACTCAAACACATAAATGCTCATGAAGGCTACACACAAACAATGGTTATTTCTAGATGAATGAGTTTAAAAACAGTTCTTTTGCTTATTTTAATCTTTCCCCATCCCTTTTATAAAAAATCATACCCTGCTTTTCAAAGAAGAAAACCAATTTTAACAAAATTAAGCAAAAGAACAAAGAGAAATAGGATCTGTGACACAGTTCTCAGAACTCTAGGTGTTGGCCCATAATGAAGGTTCAATGAAATTAAAAACTCACTGTCCTTGAGAGCTGGTTCTAATTCACAGAGACCCTCTGTCGTGTTTCTGAGGGTTTAACTTGGAAGGGGAGGAGACTGCCCACCTTTCTCTGTCAGAGCTACTGGTGGATTTGAACTGCCAGAGATGCAGTTTTGGGTTAGCACACAATGTGCTATACACTGTACCACCGGAGTTCATCTAACAGCTCAACAAGTGTGCTGAACTAGTGGACCCATGTCCAAATGAGAAAAGGGAACATCTCACCAGGATCTCCCTTCATTTCTCAGAGTTTGATACTTGAGTTGAATGAATAAAGATGAAAAGTGCCGCTTGTACATTCCCCCATATCATTCTGGTTCCTAAAGGTCCTTGCATTTGACTTTTAGTGTGGTCTTTCCTTTTTATCTAATATTTATTTATGTCTCCTTCATTAGTATAATTGTTTACATTAAACTAGAGAGGTTATTATGAGATATTGTAGGATTTTATCTTACATAAAACATCATCTATACTATTAAATTGGTTCCATCTTTTTTATAAACACGATTTTAAAATGGCATCATTACAATGCTGTCTAAAAGCATACAACATAGAAGATATTCATCCGTGTGGACTGTGTGAAAATAGAATTCACATCAGGGAAATTCTGTGCATAGTTTTTCTGTATTCATAAGAAAAATTGTGGTCTAATATGCTCTTGTTAGAATATATATACAAACCCAGCTTTGTTGAAATTTTCTAGTTTTCATGGTTATTTTCCAGCTATTGGAAAGACCAGGGGAAAGTGCTGGGTCCTTTCTAGAAGTTCTTAAACCCTGAGAGAAAGTTCCAGTTCCTCTCAGACAGTAGTAGGTCAAGATGTGGGGTGTAGTAATGGTCTCTGATGTGAAATGGCCCCGTCAGAGGAGGCCACACACAGTTCCGTTTGTTCTTCTTTGAAGGAGCTGTGCCTGGTTCTGGATGCCGCACTGGAAAGGGGCCCTGATAAATTAGGGAGCATGTGGACAGAGGGCGGGCAGATAGTGGAAGACCTGGAAATCATGTCATGGAAGAATTATTGTGTAAACTAGAATGACTTGACTGGAGAAGAAAAGATTTAGGGGGGGACATGGTAGCTATCTTTAAATGGCTGAAGATTTCGAATGACTAAATATCAAATGAGATTTAGAGATATTCTGTGCACCTCCCACAGTTTAAATCACAATGAGCAACATATTTTAGATCTGCCTAAGATGTTCTGATAGCAGAAATTCTAAAACACCAAGGACTGCTTTTAGAGAAGCATCTCACCAACAATTGTGAATTTTAAAATACTTTTAAAAAAATAAATAAAAATAAGTATGAGGCAGTCAATACTCTGATATTATGAATCATTTGGGGCACTTAAAGTCAGCGGGGATCTTATGACTCAAGCTGGTAAGAATGACAATAATTTTCCCTCTAGCTATTAGTCTTCGATTAAGCAACACGTCTGCCAGGTGAATAATGGTGATTCAGCTACCAAATGACAGAGTAGAGGTCGTGGAGTTTTCTACTCAACATTCCTGACATTTTGGAAAGAAAATTTTTTTTTTTAAAGGGAAAGAAAATAAGCTTTCTGGATGATTACCAGTACTTATTTTTTTTAAAAAGTGAATCAACTTTGACAAAAGTATGATTTTGGGCTTGGTGTAGCTTGCCCCCAAGCCCTCGGATAAGAAACTTCAGACTCGGCTTCTTTCCTTACCTGATACATTCCACCGACTCTGGTCTTGATTTTAGATCTTGATCTTTGGCTGCTACTCCAAAATGAATAGGAAAGAGACCCCCAAGGATAATGTCCCCTTTCTTCTGGGCTCGCTGGTCAGGCCCATAGGCAGAAGAGCACCAGGCAAATGCTAAGAGGATCAAACAGCAGCAGTAAAGAGCCATTGTTGGCCTCTTCTCCAGGAGGGTGAGGCAGAGGGATGGCGGTTTAGGGGCCCAAGAGCTTTACCGCTCCGTTGTGGTTTACTCCATGCAGTGGGGGTACATGTCTACAGAGCGATTATTAACACAATAGATGCGGTGATGTTTGAACTTCCATTTCTGGCTTCTCCATTGCAGACAAGAAAGGCGGGTGGTCCTTGGGTGTTTAGAAGCCACATCATGTTAGATGCTTGCTAAAAGAAGAAAGAAACAAAATGAGTTCAGCTAAGCCTAAATCCCCTCTTGCCATGATTGCTGCAACAAGTAGCTCAGAACATTCATTTAGAGTGCTTGGGTGTAGCAGCAGGGGAGGCTACAGCTCAGAGAAACATTTTTCTAGAGAAAACAATTTTCTAGAAACATTTTCTTCAGTAGACTGAAGACAGAAAACGTCAACCTTCCATGTCTGAAAAGGGCTGTTCTTTGTTACTAGAGATTACATTTGAAACTGGCCATTCACAAGCTAAGACCTCAACTATTGTAGCCACTGAATTATAATATTTTTTTTCTTCTGTGTGAATAATACACAGTCTCATGATCAGCTCAACTGAAATTCAATGCTATTGAGCTAGAACTGACTCTAACGCCCCAGTGGGTTTTCAGAGACTGTAAATCACATAGGAGGAGACTGCTCATCTTTCTTCTGCAGAGCAGCTGGTGAATTCGAACCACTTGTGTTTAGGTAGACAGCAATTTCTTTACCCACTAGGCCAGCAGAGTTCCCTCTAGTGTTAGCAGTTCTTATTTATTTAGCAAGGAGGGATCAGTCCTTGGAGAGGGAAATCATGTTTGGGAGGGTGGTGGGACAGTGCAGGAGAGAAAAACCCTCGATCAGATGGATTGATTCCATGATGGGGTAACGGGATGGGCACGTCAGAGACAATAAGATTGGCAAGGGATAGAGCAGGGTTTAGGGCTGTTGTACATAGGGTTGCTATGAGTTGCAGGCAACTCAATGGTACATAACAACAACAATGTTCTAAATATAGAATAAGTCATTATTTAAGTTTAAATTTTAATTTTAACCAAACAAAGTCCTTAAAGGTTTTCACTCTTTACTAAAATAAACAGACTATTGTTTTTAGGTGCCACTGAGTTGACTATGAGTCATAGCGACTCTATGAACAACAGATCTGAACCTTGCCCTGTCTGTGCCATTCTCATCATCTCTGCCACAGTAGGGCCCATTGCTTAGGTCACTGCATCAATACACCTTGCAGAGAGGCTTCCTGTTCTTTCGATGACCCTCCACTTTTCCCAGCATGATGTCTTTTCCAAGGCCTGGCCCTTCCTGACAAGATGGCAAAGTATGAGATGGAAGTTTCACCATATTTGCCTCTAAGAAGTACCCTGGGTGCACTTCCTCCAAGACAGATTTGTTCTTTTGGCAGTCTGTGGGATATTTAGTATTCCATACATTTACTATGTTGTTGTTGTGAACCATTGAGTGGGAAATGATTTGTAGCTGACCCTCCAGCAGATTTTCAGAAGCAGCAAATTGCATAGGATGAGATCCTTCTCCTGTGAAGTAGCTGGAATTGAACCAGGTGCCTTTGGGATTGCAGCACAGCTTCTTACAAATAGGCCACTATGGTACCCCCTTTTTTATGTTTCCTTACCACATATCTTTGGTTCTAGTTTATAGTTTGATACTCTGTTTTTGCAGTAGCCCTTACAAGGATTATTCATCACAGATTACACTCATCAATAACCTGCATTATGCAGATGACACAACTTTGCTTGCTGCAAGTGAGGAGGACTTGAAGCACTTGTTGCAGAAGACCAAAGAACATAGCCTTCAATGTGTATTGCTTCTCAATGTCAAGAAAACAAAGAGACTGAAAAGCAACATCATGACAGATGGAGAAAAGATTGAAACTGTCAACCACTTCATTTTACTTGGATCCACCATTAACACCCTTGGTGCCAGCAGTTAGGAAATCAGGAGACATATCACACTGGGAAAGTCTGCAGTTAGGGACCTCTCCAAATTATTGAGAAGTAGAGATGTCAGTTTGAAGACTAAGGCACCAAATTCAGGCCATGGTCTTTCTGATCACTTGCAATGCATCTGAGAGTTGGATAATGAATAGGGATGACAAAAGAAGAATCGATGCCTTTGAGCTGTGGTGCTGGGAAAGAGCACTGGACATCCCATGGACTGACAAAAGAACAAACAAATATGTCTTTTAGAGGGTGCAGCCAGTGTGCTCTTTAGAGACAAGGATAATGAGGCTCTGCCTTACACACTTTGAGTATGTTGCTAAGAGGTGCTATTCCTTGGAGAAGGACATGATGCTCAGAGAGGTAGCAGGTTGGGAAAGGAGAGGAAGACCCTAGACCACAGGAATTTACATGGTGAGCACCACAATGGGCTCTCGTGTGTCAGAAGTGTGAAGATGGTACAGGATAGGACAGGGTTCTGATCTGTTGTTTATAGGGTTTGTACGGATTGTACTAGACTTGACAGCACCTAACAACAACAACAACTTAAAAGGATTCAGGTAAATGAAAGATCAGATTGTTGTTGACCATAGAGTTGGCAACTGACCAATAGCTGACCCCCTCAGTGGGACTTTCAGAGGTAGGCAATTAATTGCACGGGAGGAGATTGACCATCTTTCTCCCATCGAGTGGCTGGTGACCTCAAACCATGTGCCTTTGGGATTGCAGCGCAGTTTCTTGCCACTAGGATACCAAAGCTCCCATGGGTCAGATTATATTCTACAAAACTCAATAGCTGGATCTAGGGGAAAGGCTTTATGGCTAGGATTGTTGTTGTTATTGTTATGTGCCATTGAGTCACTTGCGACTCATAGCGACCCTATGTACAACAGCCCTAAACTTTGTTCTGTCCTGTGCCAATCTCATCGTCTCCGACACAACCATCCCAATTACCGCAGTCACTGAATCAACCCACCTCATAGAGGGCCTTCCCCTCCTGCACCGTCCCTCCACCCTTCCAAGCATGATGTCCTTCTCCAAGAACTGGTCTCTCTTTACAACATGACCAAAGTATGTCAGACAAAGCCTCAGAATCCTTGCCTCCAAGGAGGCGCCTGGTTTAACCCTCTCCAGGATGAATCTGTTTGCTTTCTTAGCAGTCCATGAAACCCTCAATACTCTTCTCCAACACCAAAGCTCAAAGGCATCAATTCTCCTTCTATCCTCCTTAGTCATTGGCCAACTTTCTGATGCATAACAAGTGATTGCAAAGACCATGGCCTGTATCAGACGCACCTTAGTCTCCAGACAGTCACCGCTGCTCTTCAGTACGTTAGAGAGGTCCCTAACAGCAGACTTTCCCATCACAATATGTCTTTTAATTTCCTGGCTCCTGCTGCCAAGAGTGTTGATTGTGGAGCTAAACAGACTAAAGCTGTGAACAATCTCAATCTCTTCACCATCCATCCTTATGCCACCAATTGGTCCAATGGTGAGAATCTTTGAATTCTTGACATTGAGCCTCAATCCATATTGAAGGCTGCAGTCCTTGACCCTCTGCAGCAAG